CTACCCTTAGGTAGAATACGTTAAGCAATGCCAATATCCTGAAATCAAAAGATCGACCATACAGGCCTGTTCTCGATTTGCAAAGCTCGGCCGAGCTTAGAATGAGAAACAGAAGCTTGATCGGTCCGGTTCGTCTGGCCGTGATCTATTTGAACGGCAAGTGATATGTTTGTATTAGAGTCTGTACTATCAGAACTAGAACAAAACGCTGCTGAACATATTTTTCACATACCTGCATTTGCATATAATGATAATAATAATGTTTATTGGGGTAGGCATACATATAACAAATACAAAACAATAGGGTGTCCCCAAAGTTGGAGTTTTACTTTACACGACGTGTAAATCTTGAGATAATTAGCGGATTTTCTTAGTAGCATATACTTTGAGAGCCGAGATATTGGGGTTCGCAAACTCAACCAAACCTGAACCAAACCGAAGTCGGTCTTGTCCTATCCCTCTATCACGTCCAGAGTAGAGAGTACTTTTCATTTGTTTTTTTTACTTGTTCACTCACGTTCCACCACACATTAGCTTGTTATATCAAGCGTAGTTGTGTCCGGAAGGAAAACCCCAACTTTGCGGACACCCTGTATAATACTCCAAAGACTGGGGGTTCGCAAAGCCATTTTTCACCTCAGCCTACTAAACTACAGCTGTGAACATTATTATCGTAATGAGGGTCACATCTTTTTTTTTTTTTTTATACTCCAACTACCACGAAGGCCTAAGGCCTAAGCACCCATTGGGTACCGTGGGGCTATGGGGGATACATGGGAAAGGGGGACGCCACACGGACTCTTGGCGAGGAACACGTGTGCATGCAACATGAACACATTCTGGCTCCGCCTACGAGAACCGCCGGGTGGTACCTCCGCGTTCGACAGTCAGAGACCATCTACCACCTACGGACAATCACAACATCCATGGCCAAGAGAAACATTTCTCCTGGGACGGGAATCGAACCCGCACAGCGCACGGCGACTGATCAGGAGACCGAAGAGTCTACTACTGCGGCCACCGCTGCTGCCTAAAAAACACACAACATCCATGGCGAAGGCGAGATTCGAACTGGCGGCCCGGCCGGCCGGCTGATCAGTAGACGACACTGACCCACGCGGCCAACCGAGGTCTATAAATTCTTAAACTATACATAACTTTGTACTATAGAGAACAGAAAGAACAGAAAAGAACAATTATTTTGAAGAACCTACATGTAGCTGGTTGTATCGTCAATGAATTGCAATAGAATTTTTTTTCAATTCACTTTAAAAATAATAGAGAGACTATGCAAAAATTTGGAATAATATATAATATAATATTTTTTTAAATTCAGATGTTGTTTGAGCCGGTATGCTGTTACAATTATTATTGCGTAGCAATAATTTAATTCACCAAAAAATATCTAGAGGGTTTAAATTTAAGAATTCGTATAACAAGGTAGCAAAATTGGAATTTTTCAAACGCTTTCTCTGATAAAATATCCAGTAATGTGATCTTGTCTTAGTATATCGCTGTGATAAAATCTCATTCAACATTTTAAAGAATTTGGATTTTCTGCCAATATTTCCCTAGTTAGAAAATTGTAATGAACTGTAAATCCGTAATCTAGACGTGTAAGAATTAGAGGCTATAAAGATGTTCTACAATTGTAGGAAAGACTGTCGATACGGCCCCTAATTAACAAGTCTTGTTTTAATATCATTTGTCGATAAATTCTTGCATCTCCATTTAAATAACATACTCTAAGATTCCTTATGACATGATTCTCAAAACATAAATTTGTATCTAACGTTATTCCCAAGCTTTTATTCATCCACACTTCAATAATGGTTCCATCTTAGACTATTTCTGTTGATCATAGGGAGTGCTTGTATCGTTTTACTCAGGCGTACAGACCACAACAAATTACGCCTCTGTTTACAGATCGGGCGTTGACATATCAGTCAGGTCTGTATGTCACTTGGTACGCTGTTATTTGCTGTCACGTTTTGACTTAATGAAGTATCGGAAAAAATAGACGATTAGTGATGGTATTATTAAAAAAACAAAGTCTGTTGATATATTGGCAGGAGAGAGCCAAATTTAACAGGGACTTGAAAGTGTGGATTAAATGCATGGATCATTAAGATAGCCCTTTACCTTTTCTGGGCCATGTATAGAGTGAAAACTCCTTGCTTATGAATTTATATCCATGCAACTCTCGAGAGGTCATTCACCTCAGGTAATCTGGGAACAGTGCCGCTTGTAAGCATTCTTCCCTTGTTATATTACTGAATTGAATGCTTTCTAAAAGAAACGAATATTTTTGATGTATCCGAAAAAGCCCTACAACGTTGATAACAAAACGGCGAAGCAAGTCGATTGAGGTCACGGCAAAATGATTAATCGACCTGTGGAGGATTGGTGTTTCGATAAATGTTGGGCGATGATTAGGGTATTTCAAAGTACTCCAGCTAATAGGGCACCCAAGAAAAAGAAATGTGCTTATCAGGATGAAAGAATTGATGACCAATAGAGTGTTCAGACACAAAGCTAAAAACAATATTGTTGAACAACTATTCCTCATCAATTTTGAATGAGCTGGTAAAGAGAAAAGTGCAGCTAAAGGCATCAGACTTTGATTACCAAGTTGAATAAAAGTTTCTAACTCCAGCGATCAATTAGGAAATCCACTAAAAATTTCCTAGCTCGCGGTTGTAAGGTCTACAGAAGGGTGGCTGCTTTTGTATTGTGGTGTAATGCATCTATTGTAATTGAAGGGTTTTTTGTCATCATCTCACAATGTCAAAGCGAGAGCCCCAGGGATCTGCTTGGGCTCCAACACTGTTATTGGTAGACATGAATGATCTTTCTTGCACT